ACCAACAGTTGTTTCACGCCGAATGCTGGGCAGACCATTTTGGATGAGGCACACATCCGTAGACGTTCCACCCTGCAGCTATAATGAGCATTTCAAGTAAACCTTCTTCCCAAATAAATACCATATCGAAGGTTAAGAGATTCTAGAATTGACCCTGAATTATGCATAACTGGTATAAATTGGAAAGAAGCATACCTTGTATTTGGTCTTTCCTGCAACGCTTACTGCGACACCAGTGACACCACCGGCTGGACCGGAATAGAGCAAATTGCTACTGAACTCTTTCGCTAGATCGACACTTGCTAATCCACCATCACTCCGAAGGACGCAAATCTGTGGCTTGGCCGATCCACTTTGCGAATCCAGCTGCTTCTGTAGGGAGTCAAGATACTTTTCCACACGCGGACGGACCATAGCGTTAGCAACAGTAGTTAATGCCCTCTCATATTCCATTAATTCAGGGAGAATCGTGGACGACAATGAAATCGGCGTGGAAGGGAATTCACGCCTTAGGATATCTGCAGCGGCTTGCTGTGCAAATTTTGTCAAGACTAACGTGAGGGATTGACACAAATGAACATACTTCATGACTTGAATTGGCAAAACTGTTAATCAACGACACTGTTATAGCCTCGGGCTTGCTGTCATCTGGTAAATTCTTGATAGCCTGTAGCCGGGATATGAACACCTCGGAATCGAATGGCTTGACTTCTTCTCCAGAAGTCGAGATACGTCCTGGAACCTCGAATGTCTAAAATCATGTTCTATATTGAGCTTCTAGTATGAATTTCCAATGGATATTACTCACAAGTTCAAGACTTGCGAGAGGTTCGGGCTTCCGGTATACCACCCAGCCTCCAAGACCACCAGGCACTTGCGACCGCCGCATTTGAAGGACATCCCTGTACCCTTCTGTAACAAACAATGCCACTCTAGCACCTTTGCCTTCCAAGATCGCTGTGACGAAGTTGAGGTAGGTCATGATCACAGCGATGAATTAAACATACCATTTGTTGCAACGGTCGTCCCATGATGTAGACTAGTCAGTTGCAATTCCCCGCCCCCAGGAATGAGTCTTCTTAGAGTATCGATAGCATTCAATACTCCTTTAGCTTGGTCTTCCGGTGTAGAGGGTGTCTTCGCTCTATACGAGTCTCCGGTGACCGAATTATATAGTAGGGCATCTGATAATAATTCAACTCCTTAACGTTGATAATATAAAGCTATATCTTACCTGTAAATGTGCCTCCGACGTCAATCCCAAGTAGCCATTCCCCATGAGAATGCATAGTTATTGTGAGATACCCAGAACTCGAAGAACCGATGAGAATAGTCCAAAGCACTCGCTAGGGTTTTATGCCTAGCTCGGCCCGAATATGATATATTTTCACCATAATGTTCCCACTTGTTTGTAAAGCGAAGAGCAGTATCTAACCGACGTATGTTTTTGGTTGAGTTCATAACGGAATGCGACGGCAGGACGAAAACAAGTTAACCTAATTAGGAAATTCGGGCCACGAGATCGACGGTTATTCAACTTCTTCTTGTTTGTTTCGATAAGGTAGGACTGCTTTCTATCCGTGAAAATATCATCCAGTAACAAGCTCAATTTCGATGATACCAGATTATTGAAGTAAAATTGCTGCTTGGCCGTCGTGTACTAAATGATGGCTCCAAAAGACTATTTTTCGCTGGCGTCTCAATGACGAAGTAATAGTGGGACAATTTCCTCTATTGGTGTGTGTCTTCTCATAGGATTTTGCAATGTAAATCTGTACCTTCTCCTTATCAACTAGGGTATATGGGGTTATCAGCTGGTTGCTCTCTCTCGCACCCGGTCCGGGGCTTTGATAAAAGCACCCTTACAAGAAATCTTTTTGATAGCCAAATAGGTCTCTTTGGTTGTATTCCCTCCATTCCTATACTCCATGGTGGCTAAAGATAGGAAGGTTAACTTCCTAAAGGTTATTGAAACCAAGTAATTTGCTCAACCACTCTAGCTGAGGTATCTCTGACCCGGCTTGGATTTTCCTACAGAGGTTACGATGGTCAAGAGAACCCAGATTTGTATCCAGCTCCCTTAGAAAAGCGTAGATGGACAACAATAAATTACTGCTTCTTCTGGTGGGCATCTACTTTTGCTCCGGCAGATTGGGCATCAGGGTCATCCCTTGTCGCTGTCGGTCTCGTGAGTGACGATTCCTCGTATTATGTATCTTTCGAGTCTTCAGCATTTATGTTATTCAGACCTTTGGCCAAGCAATGGCAGCAGCTGTAATAGGGTCCTTGCTATCGGGTATTTCAATGGTGGTAACAGCACGCCGTAAGCATCTAATACAAACTTATCGTGGTTGCTCTCTTATTGACTCGTAGCGGGTGCTCAATATTCTATTGGATATCCCACCCTAATACGTAGTACTTTCGGTCTTTGGGGTAGTTATATCTTCGTTTTCATGCGAGGAATGGTCGCCATCGTCTGGTTTGGTATACAGGTTTGTCGTCTTAACCATCATGAGTTCTCATAATCCTAAGTTGTTCCAGACTTACTACGCTGGACTATTACTCTCAGTTGCTTTGAGATGCGTATTCGGTCATAAATGGGCGGATATTCCTAACACACTGTCCGAGAATGCTGGTATTACTACACGCGATCTCATTGCATTCTTTGTGAGTATTCAATGACTATCATATTTACTTCATTAATCGCAGAGACTGGTAGCTCACCTGGATCATTCAATTCCCGATTATGTTTGTTCATCCTTCTCGGATAAAGGTCCTATGGACAGTTAAAGCGATGTTTGTACCACCTGCCGTGATCGGATTTTACATATGGGCAGTTGTCAAAGCGGGCGGATATTCTCAATTTGACCTCACACCTAATCCTGCCAAAGGAGGTGAACTTGGATGGTGTACGTTTTGTTTACGTTTTGACAAGATTCACTCCGTTGACCTGCCTCTAATCAAGCCATTATGAGTGGCATCAATGCTGTAATGGGTACCCTTTCCCCGATGATTTTGAATCAGCCGGATATTGCACGATACGCCAAAAAGCCTCATCATGCTGGGTAAGCTATACAAAATGTTTGGTCTAATTATGCTAATATGAATTCCAAGCTGGCCTCAAGGTGTTACAATGCTGATTGTTAAATCACTTCTTTTCCTTTTCTCAACATCAGTCGCATCAGCCGGGAAGGTTCTTTATGGAGTTGCCTATTGGTTAGTGAACGTGATCACTGTTGTCTTTTCTATCTCACATTTGATATAAGGAATATTTGGGATCAATTAAACGCGGTATTGGATCATAACTGGACACCCCTTGCTCGGACCGGCGTATTTTATGTAGCAACTGCAATGGGCTTCGCTACCATCGGAACTAATATCTCTGCCAATTCTGTGAGTCTCACAATAGTGTCAAAGAACAGCTAGACTCATCTAACATCCCGCATAGATCCCGTTCGGTGCAGATATGACAGGCCTTTCTCCCCGTTTCTTGACTATAGTTCGAGGCCAGGTTCTATGCTGGGCACTTGGAGCAGCGATCGTTCCTTGGAAATTCCTGACGAATGCGGCGAAATTTATAACCTTTTTGGGATCTTATACGGTCCTCATGGCTGCCATTCTCGGTCCATTACTGGCTGATTATTACGTCGTTCGAAGAGGGAATATACACGTGTACGTACGCGTCGATGATTCAGTTAGGAATGCACCTCACAAACTTTCATGTGTAGACCTTCGCTTTTCCGCTATTCGACAGACAGCATATATTGGTTCACTAAAGGCTTTAATTGGAGAGGGTGTCTCGTAGGTTCTATTTTTTCGTATACTTTAACACTCGCTCAGCAATATGGTACTAGTCATGGTGCGTCGGAACAGGGCTTACGATCTCGGGAATAGTTCAACAGTATAGTCCTGGCTCTGTAGGAATTGCGGCGGGTCGTATGTACACGTGAGTTTCAATCACATTTTAACTTCAAGTGGCTTACAGATATATCTAGATTGGGTTGGCTGCTTGCAGTATCTTCGTCGTTCGCAACCCACGTCGTCTTGCATAAGCTCTGGCCAGAGCCCATATATCCTCCGGCTTATTCTGATGTTCCAGTCACATGGGAATACCTTGGATATCCTCGCCAGGGTGTTTTCGATGGCGAAATTTGGGTTCCTGGTAAATCATCAGAGGATGCAAGAGCTGAGTCAGGGGTTCAATCTTTCGACGAACAGGAGAAGGGTGGCAAATCCGACGATATAGATGTCGCCATGGAATCTGTCTATTAATGATGTCCTTCGAGTCGTTTTTATATGAATTCTCCCTCTTTACGTCTTAGACCCGCAGCTCGTTGCAATCAACTTACTAACGAAGCTTTAGGATGATGTTAATACACTGTATAGTGGGGATCTCGGAAGCTACCTGCTGCTGCGGTATTTAGATCCCTACTAAATCTGCCTGTTATGAAATACTAGTAAGCAAGAGTGAGGGTATATGTACTAGTAGTATATGTAAATTGATATGCACATCAAAGTATTCTTCTGAAAGTTCACTAGTAGATGGGCTGTCCATGGTAAGGGAAATAGAGAGAAGGTAATAAGGAGATATAAGAATTCATCGTCAACTTCTCTTGTTTTATATTTTCAAATCGTTTGAGATCGTTGGAAAGGAGGATCTTGTATCATCACTACCGCGCAACCAACTCACGCTTCAGCTTCAGGTCTCAGGCTATCCTAAATAGCACGATAACACCAGAAAATCTGCTAAATGTGATGTCGCAAAAATCCAAAATGCCCGAAAACCGTACTTATTAGAGAAACCCAAATCGACGACCAGGTATGATTAAGCCTCGCGGAGCTGTGTCCAATGGGAGCGTCGAATTCTGGAAAGTATTTGATTCTCGGAAACTAATCTATACTCATGTCCAACTATTGCTAATAATCATCAGGAAGAGCAAAAAGCATACACAGGCTATGATTAAGTTAAAAATGCGAAACACTCCCTTCGCCTAAAAAGATGATAACGGTGAGATTCGAACTCACGCCTCGAAAGACTAGTATTTTCAGATACCTGAAACTAGCGCCTTAGACCACTCGGCCACGTTACCATTGATATTAAGAACAAACTATCTCTGCTGCATATTACCCGCATATTTATGAATCTTGGAAATACGCCCGGAAGGAGGTACATTTAAATCGGTACAACTACTCCATAGGGTCACCTTCGGCCTCGTCACTGTAAGAGGATTTCAACTGGAAGGACACCATTCCACTTAGCTACTTGCAGATCAGCCAAAGCCTGAGCCTCATCATCACCAATCCCACTCGCATCCTTCAAGTCAATTCGAAAACCGAAAAGTTTCTCCTGGGTGGCAATTTCCATGCGAGCCTTAACCATCGCAACGATGTGGCCTCCGTGTATATGGGACATACGAAAGGAGATATCCCCTAACTTAGGAAGCAGATAGGGGGCGTTGTCCTTGCGACCAAGAGCCTCCATGAACGCCGGTGAGGTAAATTGCTCCTGAATGCAAAGGTTTTCCAAGTGCGGCATCCTGGGTAAAAATGGTAATAGCTTATCTGTGGGGAAATCCACGTTGGTCATTCGCAGGCTCCTAAGAGGGATGACTGCAGGGAAGAAGGTAAATATTGAAAATATACCATCAGAAAGGTGAGTAATCAATTCATCTCCATAATGTAGCTTTGCGAGATGCAAATATTCTACCTGTGGGGCGCGCAACACTCTGAAGAATTTCCCCATTTCAGGCGCAGTGTCGGGAATACCATCCCAGTAGGAAGAATCCCAATAAATGCAAAGAATCTTCAGCTTTGGCATTTGAATCAATGAGAGAGGCGTTGTACAATCCAACGACTCTTTCACCTGTAGATAACTAAATCTACATTCTTCGAGCAAAGGGGTTTGCTGAAGCAATTCAATGGCGTTGCGCAATGTAACTTCATTTGTGAAGGAGACTGCGGAGATAGAATTGATACTTGTACACTGCAGTTTAGGCCAAAATCTGTTTGCGCGGATCCTCCGAAGGGCAGGGCAAATCAGAACGCCCAATGATTTGTGCCCGGAAAGACCAAAGACTGGCAAATGAAGATCTTCCAAAATGGGAGACTCAACTTTTGCATCAGGGGGAATAAATGAATCCATGCGTACGATACGGCCATAAATCTTAAGAGATCTACACCGAGCAAGATTCTGGGAAATTGTCCTGAATAGATCCTCTATCGCTGTCTCCCATTCTAAATAGTGCATTCTGTATTTCTCTTTCCAGATGTCCGGTTTAACGACGATATCCACGGGTAAACGGCCGGAAAGGGCGAGCCATCGAGGTATAATGTCGAACGGATTGATATTGCTATATGATTGCAGGAAAATGATCCTAGTGTATAGATTGGGGGTTGACAATGCGATAGCTCGCCAACTTCGGCATATTCTTAGAAGAACGTGAATCATTCTTCTATCCTCCCGAGGTTCACTGATAGGACTTGGTAATAATGCGACCTGGTCCGCGGTGTCATCATCAAAGACCACCCACAAAAATATGATTCCAATAATTTCCGGAGGAAGGCGGCTTATCGGGAATACAGAACCGCATTGAGATTCTTCATGTACTAGTACACCTTGCGACACAAGCTGTCCAAGGACACTTCCGTGGATAACATCGAGCCAACCCATGAGCTCGGAGGTAATCAGATTGCCAATGTTGATATAAATGAGATAGAACAGACTGACGAAAGAACCGAGTAGTCCTGTCTTCACTATTCCGAAAGATTGACACAATCAACAAATTGTTTTCTCTAGGACGCGACCTGGGCAATCCTATGAGACGTCGAACGCGTGTTGATAAGTTGGAGAATGGTTTGAATGTAGGGTCGTATTGTAATTTAGGAGTATTAAGAGGAAAAGGAAGCCGTCAATGTGAGAGTCTGGATGTGGTCGTCGGAGTTGGGAGGCAGCGGTTACGCGTCACGGTCACGGTCACATCGTGCACCGCGTCGAATTGCCTTAGAACATTTTTATCTCCAATTGGTAACTCGGACGAAACGGGAAATTTATGTCGTATCTCTAAGCTAGACTCATTATACAGGCGCGATCAGAGGATATGGGCCTAACTTCGGTATAAGGGCTTCCGGACCCTTGTTGTACGTTTGCCTAAGTATTTCTTTCAGTGCAAGTTATCTCTGTTCTTCTTGGACCTAGACACCATATTTTACGTCGTATCTGCATTTTAGCCTAACGCCCTGCCACTGGGGAGCTGCCAGAACTATCATGCAGGTGAGCAATTTATTCAAATAGATGTCCAATCTCATTCGCGGACTGACGGCATTGCTAGCACGATTATGCTACCTCGACCAAATTTCTCTTCCACGTAGTTTCAGCTTCATTGGATCAAGAAGATGTATTGTATTGCGGACGCTGGTATACCCAAGGAGAATTTCCGACATCCTCCTGGGCGAGCGCCTCTATTCGTCTCATCTTCTCTGGCCGTACCTTCAGTCTCCTTCCGGGACCTGAGTCCTCAAGAATTGATACATGGAATGGCGGAACTAAGACTGTAGTAGTCAGCACACGCTACCTGGACGATCCCGCAAGGCCCGGTACCTGCCAGTCAAGCCAAGAGGCGGTCGACGTAGAAGCGGGTAAAGCTATGATTCTCTTCTCTTCCGGAGAGCCAAGACAGGTTGAAGTTGAGATAATTCTGATCGACTGGGCATCCAAGCTACAAATCGAATCATTCGCAATGAAAGACGTAATGGATTATCATCTGTCTTGCTCTCTGTGGTCGCTGACGTTCACACAGGGTGATAAAATCATCTCATTGCGGAAAGATCCCTCCCTTCATCGCCTTCTCTTCATAGGTGATAGCATAACCAGCGGCTTTTGTGACTCGGAAACCGAAGGCTACTTCCCTCGAGGCGTGCTAGACCCCTATCCGTTTGTTGTTCAGCGGGCTCTCGACACTCACGATATATCCGTCGATGTAATTGCTTTCCCTGGCATTAGCGTCGTCGGTGAACATGACAAAAAAGGATCAGAGGCGGGCTTGGCAACCAAATTCAAGCATGTATGTAAACGATGCGTATATTATTGCTCAGCATCACTAATCTGACGTCGCTCAGATGTCTCCGTGGATGGAGCAAACGTTTTGGTCATTTAAAGAATTGGCTCATGGCTACGGGCCTACTATCGTGGTCATTGCTCTTGGTATATTTCAAATTTGCTGATAATGCAGCACAATGATTAACAATAGTTAGGTGTAAACGATGATGAAAATGACATACCAGTCGAGAGATTCATCGAAACCTACCTATCTTTTTTGTCCGAATTGAGCTCAATATACGAACGTTCCATGAAGCATCTTGTTATATTTGTGAGTGGATAAATGTTGATTAGCAACACTGTACTAATCAGGTCAGTCCCCGTGATCGCCTTCTGAGCAATACTGGCGCCCATATGAACCGAGGCTTTACGAGGCGATCCTTTCACTTAGCCGTGATCATATGTGGTCTCCCGATATCCATTTACATCACGTTGATACACTAGGATGGTATGACGAGCATTTAACAATTGACAATCTACATCCCTCTGTCGATGGCCACCAGAGTATAGCAAATAAACTCATGGAATGGATGAAGTCCAGCAATATATTTGCTTGAATATCATCTGACGATGAGGAAAAGGTAATCAGCTAGGTGGAATGGGGCGAGGATCGTCTAGCAGGGAATTTGTTTCATGTTGTGAGAGAATCCACCGGGTTAAATATACAACATAACAATAATACATATCACAGATCAAGAGTCGCGAGAGATGTAGACGTCAAGCACACCAGCATATTCTCTCTCTAACGCATCCATAAATTCTATATCTCCGTCAGTTATCCCAGGCACATATGCTAACAAAAGTCGAAAAGAAGGAATTCTTTCTCGAGCGACAATTTCCATGCGACCTTTTGCCATTCCAACTAGTACATCGATCCCAGATAGTGTTGAATAAGCAAAATCAACCTCCTGTAACTTAGGAAACAAATAAGGAACACCATCTTTGTAGCCAAGGGCGTCCAGGAATGTATCCGAGATAACATTACTTTCGATGCGAAGAAATTCCAAATGCGGCATCCTGGATAAAGACGGCAGCAAATCCTCTGTTGAGATATTAATGCCACGTAAAGTAAGTTTCCTAAGAAGGATGACACCGGGAATAGATGCGAAGATAGCACATATTGCATCTCCAATGAGTGTGTTATTCGTGATGACTGCCTGGTTGTGGAGCACGAACGTCTCTATCTGTGGAATTCGCAACGCCTGAAGAAATCTGCTCATTTCAGCGTGACTAGGCGAATCACTGGGATCCCAGGAAATAACAAGGCGGTTTAGGTTCAGTAGAGAGATTGTTGAGATCAGTGGGAAATCATCTCCTTCCTCTGGCTGCAGATCATCAAACTCGCATTCTTCTAAAAAGGAAGCCTGTTGAAGAAATTCGACCACCCTGCGCAACGTTGGTTCGGTTCCATATGATAGGGAGGAGACGGGATTGGCATTTGTGACATGCAGTTGGGGCCAGAATTTGCCTACATGGAGTCTTCTGAGGGCAGGGCAAACAAGAACTCCCATCAACACTCGCGGTGAAGGAGGAAAGTATTGCAAATCCAGAATTTCCAGAATAGGAGCATGTATCCTTGTACCATCAGGTATTAAGAAGCTCATGCATTCAGCCGCTGACAACATTGCCAAGGATTTACATCGAGAAACTGCCTGTGAGAGACCTTCGAATATTTTTTTCATCGCTATCTCCCAGTCTCCCAATTTTCCGTAGTGTTTCTTCCAACGATACGGATAAACGGCAATATCCAAAGATAACTTGCCCGAAAGAGCGAGCCAACGAGGAATGGTGACCAGAGGGTCCACTCTAGGGGCTTCCAGGAAAATAAGCCTTGTGAATAATTGAGGTTTGTTCAACGCGATCATTCGCCATTTCCGGCATATTCGGAGAAGAACAGGAATCATCCTTCCCTCTTCGCATCCAGAGTCCCATGAAGTAATCTGGTGCACCGGAGTAGCATCATATACCACCCAGAAAAATATTTCTCCGATAGTT